ATCGATGATATTCGATATTGACTGTAAGTCATGTTCATATCACTCAAGAGTGAATGCGAGTCCTGTCCAACTGAACATACCATCTGGCCGCAGAGCCAGTAAGACTGTCATGAAAAACATGCATCAAGAGTTTTTCATCATGTGCATGAGCTGTCATCTTTCTGTAATACATGATAATGTGAGTTTTGTGGCACTTTGTACCATCATATTTTTTAAATTTTGGTACTTTAAATTTATGGGGAATAACCACATCAGGAACTAGGTAGAGCCCAGTAGCATCAACTGACCCATAAAAACTAAATCCTTCCACAGCCCGTAGCCTCTGCTCTAGCATGCTAATCTTGGAGCTTTCCTGAACTTTCACTCTTATCTTTTCTTTCTCTTTTTTTTAAGTCATCTAGATCGGAATTGATTCTGTTGTCTTTTCAGTGAAGACAGGATTTATATAGCTATTATACTGTCCTTGGTTAAAAGCTGATGGCATTCCAAGATATGTTGGATATGCAAATGTTGTGGCGGGATCTCTTGAGCAGACTGAGCTTGATGTGGGCCAAAACTTGGAGGGTACAAAGGATCAACCACTTCTTGTAATGGGAGAACTTACCGACTTGTATTTTCTTTAACTCCTTTTCCTTTATTCATGTTATTAAGAGCCTCCAGAATCTTGCTTAGCTCACTTTCAATCTTCTCTTGTGCCTTTTTCCTATCCTCTCTCTCAATATCTATGAAAACTTTTCTCCTCCATTGTTTGCTCGGATCTTGTGTTTATATCGATGGGCGGGGTTTCGCGTAGATGAAAGCTATCTCTGGAACCCTGAGTACCATATCTTAAAATTAGTAAATTTGCATGATCATCACATGGTTACTTTTGTAAGCGTAATGAATGAGAATGGCAATGAATGAAAATGGCCATGTAGCAGAGAACATTTTCCTTAAAACGGTATTCAACTAAAAAATTTCATTTATTCACAAAAAAACTTTGATCTATATTGAGTTTATCATCTTAGAGTTATAGCATTAAAATTGTTTGATCTGTTCATAATGGGCCTTAGCTTCTTCTATGAAGTTCA